TATCACCTTGATCTGACATGTTGTGAGACCTATTAGTGTTCTCGTATTCTTCTTCATCACTAGAATTGCACTCAATTTCTGAATTGTCATCCGCCAACGCAGATATTGCCGTGTCTGCTTCTTCCAAAGAAATTTGAATTCGATTTCGACCATAAAATCGAATCGTCGGTATTGTATTCCCTGCAGAAAACAATAGTATATTAAGTATGGAGAACGGTAAGGGATTTTTACCGTTCGAAGACAATTGTTTGGAGGAGGAGCGAAGCGACGACTCCAATTATTGTCTGAGAACGGTACCCTTAACGTTCGACGTGCTTATAACATTTTTTGCGCGATCGAAATTAAAATTATGCAACCAATATAAATATGCACTAAGAAATTAACGAGCAGAATAAATCGAAATGATCGAAGTGGTATGGTGTATATCACTAGGTAACCAGTTTATTTGTCAAAATTGAAGTTAATAATTTCATAAAAATGTGCATGTGTCTGATGTAGTTTACTAGCTTTGCACTTCCTTTATGACTTTATGAGCGTCTTGCCATAGGAAACAACAGCACTAATTGTACGTTTAATGTACCTAACAATAATTAAAGATTAAATGTAATGTACTGTTGATTTTTAAAAAGGCGTCGGTAAGTATTTTTGCTGTTCTGTTTTTAGATCGGTAAGTAATGTTGACGTCGTCGTAATCATAGCAACTGGTAAATTCTACGTACCTACTGTCATGGAAACACCCATGGTAAATAGTCAGAAATGACCGATCGCGCAAAAAAGTATTTACAAAATCGAATACTGCCCAGCTCTGTATGTAGGTTAACAGCGAATTACTTTAAAAATGATGATATTTTAAAACGGGAAAGGATTGTATCTTTTGGAGGCAACTGTAGGGTTGCTAGTAAGTCTTCCAAACATAATTTAGTAAAGAAATCAAAATATTTGATCTACAACAAAAATTACAACCCCCGCAATTGAATATTCTTATGTAGACAAGACCGAATTACATTAAACATTATACGCGATTTTAAAACGAGAACGGATTGTAAACTTTGGTAGCAATGTAGGGTTGACTGTACGTCCTTTAAACGCAATACATTAAACAAACATTATAATTTTTGGTGTATAACAAAAATGTCAACCCCCGCAATTGAATATTACTATGCATGTATAAGGGGGAATTACCTTAAAAATGACGATATTTTAAAACAGGAAGGGATTGTAACCTTTGGTGGCAATTATAGGGCTGCTAGTAAATCTTTTAAACATAATCCAGTAGAGAAACCAAAATTTTTGCACCTACAACAAAAATTACAACCCCCGTAATTTAAAATTTTTATGTAAAGACCGAATTACCATGAAAATTAGATTTTAAAACATAAAGGGATTGTAGCCTTTGGTTGCAATGTAGGGTTCAATCCTTTAAAGATAATCTATTTCAAAGAACAAAAATTTCAACTCCCGCAATTTAATATTACTATGCAAGTAAAAGCGAATTACCTTAAAAAGGACGAGATTTTTAAACGAGAAGGGATTATAACCCTTGGTGGCGATTGTAGGGTTGCTTGTAAATCCTTTAAACATAATCTATTAAAGAAACCAAAACTGATCTGCAATAAAAATTACAACTCCTGCAACTGAATATCCTTACGTAGAAGATTCTTACGTCATCGCAAGAAGTCACCAAGTACCAAGGTTCTAACGAAGATGGAAACTTAGAGATGACTAATTGCTCATTGAAACAGTGTGACAAATACTAAATGGTGAAAACGTGCAAATCGAGTTCCAAAATTTGCAAAATGCCTGAATTCCAATGAATTTTAATTGTAGGTCGCGTTAATTAAGTCAAAACAAATAATTATTCGTGAAGAAACTCACCGTGAATAATTTTCCAATACACAAAAGTATGTCTTTACTTATGGAGATTGCGAACCACTCGATTCGAATGCAAATATGCAACTGCCCCGATTTGTATTAACGTGGAGGTAAACTATTATCTTCTTACCGTGATTAGGAATGACCCTGACTATTGACTAATGTGAAACTGGTACATATATTTATTTCCGGAGAATGTTTAAAGACAAATCAAATGAATTGAAAGAAGGAAAACAATGTAAAACATACAAACAGGGTTTTTCGTATTACTAATTTCGTTGCAAAAGCTAAAAATCTCAAATTCCCTGAAGAAAGCAATGCTTCACTTACGCAAAATGAAGGCCTCCCAAAGCTCCCATCGCTATGTAGTTTCCAATGCATTTATCGCTACTGCCCGTGGGTTTGACTGATTTATGAATTGTGCAAAAGGGCGAAAAAAGGAGCATAACGGAGACGGTTGAACTCACCGTCTGTTTTGCCCATTGATCGCCTTTTATGATCTCCACGGTGGAAGTAGATCAGTTCTACTCCCGAGCCCACAGGGAAAATTGAAGTTAACATCTAGTGAAAAATAGACAGAGCTAGATATTTCGGTCCCTCAAAGTTAATCAACGTCTTTGCTATTTATTCTAAACATTTGGTAGAGATAATTCGCTCCCTTCACAGCTTTGGCTGTTTTGCAATGTTGAAACTATTTGAAATTATAGTAAATTGTTTTCTGCTTATTGTTGTAGTATTTCCCACCTCGTACCCAAGCAACTTGGCAGAACTGCAACTGTACAGGGTAATGCAAAACGCATCTTTGCTCTACTACTACGACACGCTGTTGGAAATGGGGGGTGATGACGTGCAGCAACTATGTGATGCCGGCGAAGAAGAATTTTTAGAAATAATGTCTTTGGTGGGAATGGCATCTAAACCGTTGCACGTGAGAAGGCTACAGAAATCGTTACAGGAATGGGTGACCAACGTTACCAAATTCAAAATGCCACTCATTCCTGGAGAGGATTTCGAGATTGAGTTATCTAGTCCCAGAATTTCAAGCAACCATAGCGTTTATGTCATTGACAACAACGAAGGCTATCGACCAGTTTACTCGCCATCGTCTGGGGAATCCGGCGCGTCTCAGTCAGTTGGCAGTCCCGTTCGATGTTTGTCAAAGAGGTTGGTATGCGTAGGACGATTTGGCGAGCGTATAGCAAGTTTTTTAGGCCTTACTCTCCACTAGATGGACCGTCTTGTCCACCATCCTCAAGTTCGAGTCCAGTGAACAGTAGTTCACCCCTGCAACTTACACCATCGCTTCTTGATAGTCAAATTGCGAAGCTGGCAACTGCAGCAGAGCGATTGAGTAAGCGATTACCATTATTCGAACCGAAGCCTTGCAATACCAAAAAGAAGATGTCCAAAGAACTGGAGGTAGTATATACTTCACAAACTTGGGTTTTACTCAACGCCTTCTTTTAGTTAGTGATGTCAATGTCCGAATCTGATCCAAGGCGTATGGATGAAATTCGAAGATACGCCGCAATCTATGGACGATTTGATTGTAAAAGACGACCAGAAAAACCTCTAACGCTCCACGAAGTGTCGGTAAATGAAGCCGCCGCCCAAATTTGCAGATTCGTGCCCGTGCTGTTAACGCGTAGGGATGAATTGTTTCCGTTAGCTCGTCAAGTGGTTAAAGATTCGGGTTGTCATTATTCGAAAACTCAGTAAGTCGTTGCCCACTTAGAATACCTACTAGGAAATCGATGCTTATTTTGTGGACTTCTCTATTAGTATTTCAGCATTGGTGTCTCATTTTCAATTTGGCTGGGATATGGCATTTTGCGAATGCTGTCTCGCAATAAAGATAATTTTGTTTTAGGGTATCATCTACCTATAGTCATAGAATATCTGGATGCGATAAGGAACCTGAGACCACTAACTTAAAGCATTCATCAAATACCGAGGTAGAGGGCAATTTCTCAAAAAAAGCGAAATTAGAAAATGATGATGGAAATGAGCCAGGGTTGAACCGGCAGGTCAGCCAACTAAAGAAACAAAAAATTTCTCATGAACACATTTTTAACTTAGAAGATTAAGCCTAACTGAACAAGAATTAGGTGTTTCTTTCTTAATTGTATCATGTTTTAAAAATTAATTTGCGTGAATTGCATTATTCTTTTGTTCTCATTACGTTTTGCTCTAAAAGTTGTGATGCTTTTAAATGAATGAGATGAATTGTTGTTTACTGGGGGAATGGAGAATAAATACAGTTTTCAGAGGTTACGTGGTTGCTAATGTTAACAAATTATAATCTAATGGTTTTACTTGACCAATTTGAAATCTAGGAGAAACCGACCGACAACTTTTTGAGCAAAAGCATTAAATTGAACGAATAAGTATGAAATGCCTAGTTTTTAGTCTACAATTAAATTTTTTTTCTGATTTGCTTAAATTATTTATTATCGCAACTATTAAGCCATACCCATACGCTGCTTGCGGGGTTGTCATTGTATTGCGCTTTAGTAGCCATTTTGATCTCTTTAACGAAATGCACCATACTAATTGTTTTGCTTCTCATTTTTAGCATGCAGGTTAACCGGCTTAAGGTAAGGTACAATTGGCGTTTAACTCTGACTTTTCTCGCACGTATGTATTTATTTAATTCCCTAACCGTAAGGCAATTGAGTATTTAACACTTATAAGAGATCGGATTGGTCATCTTTACTGGAGTAAGCGAAGAAAGTCTAAAGCGAAGGAAAGATCAGTGAAGGTGGCTAATTTAGACAACATGAGCGCTCAAATATTCAACAGGTACATTGGGCTTTAATATTGGATACTAACGGAATGAGTTTCCTTGTAAAAACCCAATGGTAGCTACTGTCACAAACTCAAATTACGTAGCCGAATGAAAAATTTTACCTCCGCCTTTTTTCAGGAAAAAAACACGGATGGTGGGCTTGTACGGTCACCACTCCACACTTTATTTCAGCTTCATACAAAATCTCATCTGCAATCTAATAGGTAAGTTGATAGTTCATTGATGATGATGTCCTACTTATCATGTACTCTTTGTGTCTAGAGACACGATACTTCGTAATTCCTCTATGACGGATTATGAAGAGGCAGAGTCCAACTACTCATATAGCAGCTCTAATTCTCCGTATCAGGCAAGTCACAATTAAAGCAAATGGACATTCAAAAAACATTTTTTAGGTGGGAAACCACGAGCAGGAAAATAGTTATCATGAAAATAATGGAAGTGTAAGTACCAAAGAACGCCACAGGTTGTTTTTAGTAACATAATCATTTTAGAATATTATCGACGACCTTCACCACTCAGATGCAGAGGATACTCCAAAGTTTTCACCAAAAGTCATAGCTGCTAGTGGAGACAATATAATTGCCGTCGCTAATCCAGCGTTATCCATGTCACCAACCATCATGGCGTCTAGTTCAAGAGAAACCCGTAAAATAGATTAATAATGTACAACAGCAATAAAATGTTTCATCGGTTGAATTTATTTTTTAGTTTAACATGCTGCTTTGTATTTTAAAAATAGTATGTATTTTGAAAATTTGCAATCAATTGGCGATTTCTTCAAGTATTCCCCTTCTCCAAACACGCGGTTTTTTCACTGATCTCCAGAGGCACAACAAATAGTCGACTTTGCCTTTCCTAAGTCAACTCTAATCAAAAGTTCACTCGCCCTTTCGCGATTTTTACTTCATAGCATACGAAGCTTTAAGCTTATTTGGGCGACAGTTGTGCAGAATGTTAAGCATATATGGAAGCAATATAGCAGTATTCACTAAAATTGACAATATGACCACGTGTAAAAACGAGATTTTCCTTGGAGCAAATAAATTACTTGCGAAGTTTCTTTACGAAAAATTCTTTCAGGGTAAAATTTCTGAAGACTTTTGGGCCCCCACCGTCATCTCTGAAAAACGAAATTTCAAAATTTTTACTAGTATTAAAAATGTTGTTTTTGGTTTATAATACCTTCTTGCTTGTGAATGTTCCTTGAATCAAGTTCCTAGTGGGCCATTATTCCGGTTTAGACGAATTCTACTTGGCTTCCTACAATCAAGCTAGTAAAAAAATTGTGCGAGGGAAAGCATTCATTATAGTCAAGGCCGGATGAATAAGGCTAGTGCATACTCGGTGCAAAGATTCACAAAATACAGAATCAAATGCAAACATTAAGACAGATTACTAATTTACCAATGAAGCGCATTGCCGAGCCAGAAAGAGTGAGGAAAAGCACTTGTGAAATAAAACAAGATACGCAGAATCGCATATGATTTTCAGTAAGGGAATTTTTTGAACTGGAATTGACTGACAATGCTTTGACATCGCTGTCTCTTTTCGTTTTTGCATTAGATGAGGAGCAGACAAAACCATCATCACAGATATACGTTTTTTTACGTATATCTGTGTCATCATACAAGAAGGGAATTTAATTCGAAAAGTTTCCCTAAAAATTGGTGCAAGTAGATTGTATTGAAATAAGATCTATTGGAAATAATGACTACTGATGATGGCAGAAGTACCTACCTACTGAGAAGAGGTTAGGTACCGCAACCTAAAGTCCCCAAAAATTGCATGCTAAGTGTCTTTATTCACAAACTTTTCGCGACCATGGTTGCTTACTTACTTACCCTAAAAGAATGTTAAGTTACAACAACCAAATTTAACCCAAACATAGAGAAATAGAATACCCGTGCGTAAATTAGGTGGTATTTTCTACAAGGTTAGACTTAATAAGAATAGTATAAGGATAAGTGGCCCTTGTTTTTTTATTTTCACATATCCTTAACATAAGTTAAAATAAGTTCCGAAGAAGGGAATTAGTATAAAAATTCATATAAAGATGTATTTATTAATAGCTTTTTTACAATAACTATTTAAGAAATAATTATAAAAATCTTGTAATCGCATTAGATGCCATTTAAAAATAAATTTTAAGTAATTTATTTTTGATTTAATTACCGAATCATACTTTTGATATAAGTATATAAATCACCATTACTTCTTTTTTTTATCATATTTGTATCGCTACAAATAATAAAAAAAAGAAAATTGAAAGACTAATTTCTATAAATTAGAAAAGGAATTAATTGACTTTACACCTAAATTGTTTATCTAAAGAATTGTATATAAAAGTGAATACAAAAAAGTTTGCCATGTCAATAATTTTAAAGCTACATTTCCTATATTTGATCTAAATCTTTGTAATTTTTAACTTTTAATGGAAAAATAATGGCACGGAATTTTCAGCAATAGCCACAATTTATAATCAACTAAGTACAAATTATTAATTAGATATACAAATATAAAAACAATTGAGCTGCTCACATTAAATTGGAAAAGTAGAGTTATGGTTAAAAAATAATATGACCCTTATTTACACATAGACTTTTAACAAACAAGGTGAGGAATGATGAAGAGGATATGGCTATTGGTGCATATGAACAAATGTGACAACCCTGTTAACAAACCTAAAGTTGTAGATGTGTTAAAGGTCATATTGTAGCAGTCAAATTTTTACCTTCCCACAAATTGGTTTATTTCCACGCAGCGATGACACACCTTTCAGATATAAAAAAAATAATATAAACAATGACAGTAAATTTGCGAAATAAACACAAAAAGAGATTTTTTATAATATTTATATAAAACATAAAAAGTCTGGTAATCATCAACAAAATGTTAAAATGAAGAATCTTCCCGTTAGGTATACAAAATACAAACCAACTTAAAATATACTAACATCATACAAAAGTGTAAAAAGTAATACAAAAACAATTATTAAAAATCTCGGTGCACAATTATCGGCGTGGTAGCCATTTCCTATGAAAAACGTGAAATGGCTGACAAGTCAATGAGGATTAAAAAACAACAGTCTAATACCTATTCCAGGCCACAGCCCGATATTGCACTAATGGTAACTACAATGATGAAATTTGGAATACGCCATCGATTCCTAATTTCATAATCTAGACAGGTTAATTGCTGTCAAACTTCACATATAAATAGACAAACTTAGGTTTATAGTTTTAAAACAGTTATAAAAAGTAAAAAATATATAACTTGCAAATTTTCCAATAAATACATTAGTTAAATATTAAAAATATGAAAACTTAGACAATCAGTTTTAGAAACAGTCTGACTGTGCACACTTCTAAATCTCAAAAACGGATAAAAAGTTATATACTTAATCGTTAGGTAAAAACGATGTCCTATAGAATATCATACAAATGTCCCCATCTCAGACTAATTATCTACTCTCCAAGCGAGCAAATATACAAACAGTAGAAAAAGGAGTGTAAATCTTTACAAATCATATCAATACATATTTGTACCATGTCATAGATGGTTCACATTTGGCACGGGTGGCAGCATTCCTAACTGGTATTGACGTACTGCCCGCAATTTTATCGCCCCGTGCATAATTACACTATACTGATTACCTAGGAAACATTATAATAATTAATTATGGTTAAAGATAAAACTCTACAGCGTTAAGTCTGTAAAGACTCCACGCAATTATTGCACACATGAAACTCTACCATTTATAACAGTTTAGTATAAAAATTCAAATTTAAAAAATACAAAGTCTTAGAATAGCTGATACTATATATAATATATACTATACATATCCGTGCAATTCATTTAATACATTAAGACGTCTATGGTATCACACATTAAAATAAACAATAGTAGGAATAAGTGCGGACACTAAGCAAGGGAAGCAAGTTAGTTGGGAGCAGGCCGGTCAGGTACTTGGGGCTAAGTGATTTGCCGCAAGCAAAGATTCCTCTGCCCTGCAGCGATTCGCAGATTAGACTAGTATTTACAAATACCCTGAAAATTACTAACTGTACTACCTGCATGTGTTCTTGCTTTGCCAGAAAAACATGCGGTGTGTGCAGTGTCTATTCCGTGCAGGCAAAGAGGAGACACTTCACGTTGATACAGCTTGTACAAAATGGGCTGGTGAAGTAAATTTAGCTACCACCAGGCGCTTCATAAAAGAAGGTAATTGATTACATATATATTTTAAATATATATAAATTGCTACTATAGAATTACGCCTATTTCATAAACAGCAGTACCGTCATTAATAAGCTAAAAAAAGACGGTAGATGCGCTAAGCGCTCCTACGTTAACACCAGCGAAAAGGTACGGCACGTGGCCTGTCCGCGCCCTCCTTTACTAGAGGCTTATGAAATTCTCGACCTGGCCTTGAGTGAATGGTCGCCCAGCAGTGTTCACAGTAATACTGAAATATGTTGCCAGTTACAACATTCAAACGTATAATCTTAACATACTTGCAAGCAGGTAACGTTAGCGCAAAAGAATGGTGCGAATTTTCCACCGCAACGCTGACCTTGGCATTCATCACACATTTGGTCATCCAAAACATACGGCTTCACTTCAACCCTCTTATCTATATCACCATGTTGTAGTTGTACAAAACGTGCACTGATCGCAGCTATATAACTTTGTTGATTACTGAACGCTACCCTCCCAGCACCCTTTGGATATTTCAATTCTGGATCTGTGTCTATGCCAGCATAGCACACACCACCATACAGCCTATCCATTATCATGGCCAACTCAACTGCAACAATTGGTTAACTTGGTCACGTTCTTTGATCTTTAGACACTTACCTGCTTTAAGAGGACGAGGGACTCCACCAACAAATACAGTCTTCCTAGGATCAAGAGGCATGGAAGCGTCCAATACAAAATCTGCATCGGAAAGTCTCCATGGCCGAATTTGCACAGGTTTATCTTTTATGGTAGGAGATGACACGCATAAATAGAGCTTGTCTTCGTCTGTAATGCAGGCGTCGATAAGACTCTGCACTGAATTCTCATCCTGTCCAGGTGTTAAAAAAATGCATTGATCACTTTAGTCCCATGGAGAGGAGAACAAAATAATCTACACTATACCTTTTTCTCTTTTATCTGGTACGGTAGATTACTTTGATCTTATCCCATGCAATCAGACAGGTACACTCTTTGAAGATGACCGGATTATTGCAAATAACAAAGTCAGGATTATCACTCGATAAAAGGTAAACGCAAAAGTTACTTTGAAATAACCCGTTACCTCACTTAAAAAGGTATACCTGAAATAACAGAAAAGCGTATCCTTTCGGTGGAAAGTAAGATTTACTTTCAGCTTTATGAGGCCAATCTACAACTAGTGGACCAAAACGACGGAAGCTGGCAGTAATTTCGTCTTCATCTATATCCGGCGGTAGGCCTCCGACGAACACCTTTCGCGAAAATCTCTCACCACCCTCCGACCCCTGCGAATGTGGCGATGATCTTGAAGGTGAGCTTAGGGGTTGTGCACCTAAGGTATTGTCCACCAAATGTCCGGGCTCTTCTAGTAACACGGGACCAGCTTGATCATCTAAACCGGGAAAGTACGATGTTTTACCTGCAAGCAAATAACTACGTTGTAAAAATAATCGTCGCTTTCGGGGGCAATTATTATCGATATTAAAAGGATGGCATTTTTCGCAGCAAGTTATAAGGAACAAACCATTTTCTTCTGGGCAGAAATTAGGAAATCCACATTGATACATTGACTAAGTGGTGTTAAAATACAGTCAAAAATCCTTTATTAATTTTATTACTTTCACTTCTTGATAAATATTACACAAGCGGCGGTGCCGATATAAATTATAACCAACTAAGAAAATTGGCAGATGCATGGCGTTCCTAGTTTACACTATTTAATCAAAAACTGTTTGCGATCCATTTGGTGAAAACAAGCATGTATCAAGTGACCTTTAGTGAAATGAACAGTACAAAGGTATCACAGTGACAAAGTCAGTAGGTAAATCCTAGCAACAGAATCTTCAATATCTCCTTTGCCAAAAATGATATTTTTTTTTAAATAAATGCTTTGCCCCATTGGTTGAACCGACCGTCTAAATTGGTTTTGGTAAAGTTTTGATTTTATTCCTAAATTCATATTTAATACTGGTGCCCTTTTTATGTGATTCCAGTCCCGCTTTCATCCCTAATAAATTACTTTCTCTCAAGATTTACATTCATAAGTGGATTTTATTTATATTATACACTAGAATCTTGTTGACTGTATTTATTAAAAGTTATCTCATGAACTTGAAAGTTTCTTTCAGTCACTTAGGTACGCAATAACGAATTCCCGAGCATCAATATTGTATGTGAAGTTAACTAAATATTTTCTGGTTCGCGATTTGTGTAAAAGGTTACCAGGACCAATCCAGCACGTCGATAAATCAGATTATGCGTTGTGAGGTTGATTTACATTAATTTTCCAAAGAAGCTTCGATATAAATTCAATCAAGAATCCAAAATGTATAACTCCGCAATTTATATTTAATTGGCACAAATAGTGCAAATAAACTTCTTTTTCTACTACGCTTCTAATACAAATGTTTCGAATTTATTCCTAACCTTATGGATCAGTCACCCATGTACGACTATGAACTATTCTTCTGAAGTACCAACACATTACTTTTGTAATGTTATGGTAATTATACTATAAGATAGCAATGATTGCGGCCGTAGTGGTAACCATTTCAGTTTTGACAAAAAATATATAACGTTCATATTTGATTTGTTATAATTTTTTATTTTGCAAGACAACTTGTAGAGATGGAAAACTGAACTCTTTCTTTTTAAAAATGAATTTGAATATAATTTTTCAGAATCGAATCGGTACAATTTATTGTCCTCTTATGGCGGTTAAAATGGTTTTCTACTTTATTCACGCTAATGTACCCAATTATTATATAATTTTCAAGAGTGTCCCGCTTACATTGACGGTAAAGATATTTCTTAAGGAAATAGTTGACTGCTGTCAAAAAAAATAAGGCCATCGACAAGAATGCGAGGGTTACAATTAAAATAAACATATAAATAGTCAAAGAAAAAATCGATTTGAGGGGTTAGAAGGGGACAAGTACCCAACTTCGGCCAGATCTGAAGATTGGCAAGATTTCGGGAGAGGCTGGGAAAATGTGCGTAGGTAACCTAGGCTTATCCGATTGAGGATATTAGGTCCTCGCATGCCGCCCAGGGTCCCGGTCCCGGAAATACAATTTTAGGCAAAGTTGGCTATTTATGGTATATGTACTTTAGATCACATTTGGCCAAAATTGTTACGCTTCCACCGTTAACCATTAAATTAATGCCGGAAAACGGACACTATATTTTCGTAGTCCCGCCATAACAACTTGAAAGTTGACCGCTCTGGCTAATGTCTTAAGGCAAATATCTATTTGCATCCAGACCAATTAAATAATGATCTATCACGGCAATGTCGGCCCAAAGAGTACAATATTGGAAGGTACATGAACAAACCACTCACATCTTAGCTTACCAAAAAGACGGTTTGTAGATAAATTTAAGCAAAAGTAAGCGCCGTGAAAGTGTAAATAAAACTGGGACTAAAATAGCGGGTTAAGACAGTACATCACGGCGTCGAGGGGAGTGAATGTTATTGATCCTGTATTTATTCTGAACTAAAAGAACTTTTCGAGCAAAAAATACCCAACTAATCCAGGTGTAAAACGGTATTCCTTTAGGCAAACGTTTGCCAACACGTAACATATGGCTATACTTATTACATGCTACGGGATGTGCCAATAGTACCGTAATTAAAAATAGCAACAACAGGAATAGCATTGGGCGGAAGTCGCAACTGAGCTCAATTTTGTGCAATTTAGGCCGCGTTTTATTATGCGATTTTAATTGTTCTATACGCGTACATTTGCGGTTAAACCTCACTATTAAACCTAATCAAAATGTAGTCGAATCGAAATGGACTAAAATTAAACGGCTAAATAGTATGCATTCGATATCAACAGCAGCAATGGGCTTAATAAATGGTTTCTGAATTAAATAAATTTAGACTTCTATTTTAAAAGTTATCTCTTTTCTCTTACGCAGAAGAGACTTATTGGTCAAAGGGTACAGCCAGAGATTCAATGAATTACAAGTTAAAGCGGTTCGTCTTTTGAATTATGACGGCCAGAATAATGTAGCAGGGGTGCCGCAAAAGTATTTGCAATTTTCGGTTTCTTATGAACTTCGCAAAGCTCCTCGTCAAGTTTTACCTTGCCGTCTGTTTGCGTCTGTGTTCTACAATAGTAAAGCTATTTGTGAATAAACCATTAACCATAGCTGTGCCTAGGAGTAGAAACGAAGCGAGTTCACCAGGATCAGTATCTTTTAACTGATGGGAAAGCTAGAAAATTTAATTTTGTAAATGACAAGAACGAAGATAGTAAGTGAAATGAGGTGGCCAGACAATGGTGACTTCTGAAAGCGTGATTTTCGAGTGATTCACACGGGCTGCATTGAAGGGAGACCAGGTACAGGTGGTGTAGGAATGGTGTTAAGTAAAGATACGGCAGAAAGAGTTATCGATGATGTGCAATGAAGATGGACGGGTTATACCAGTCCAGTATAGACTAAACCAAACAGGACAGTAATAGTGTAAGCTTATTTACCAACTACTAGACATGACCATTATGAGGTGGAAAAGGTTTATGATGAGATAAATGAGGTTATTCGTAATTTTAAGGGAGAAGACAGTTTAATTATAATGGGAGACTGGAATGCGGTAGTGGGAGGAGGGAAAGATGCCAATGTAGTTGGGTCTTTTATTTAGGTGGTACACCTGGAAAGCTCCAGGTGATAGCCGAAGATACCAGATCTAGCTGAGACAGAAGAAGAGGAAATCGATAGATCCCTTAGGGCTTAGAACGTGCAACATGAAGATCAATAAGTCAAAAACAAAAATCATGGTAGTGAGTAAACACAGTACAACGGCACAGACCTTTTTTACGTACCTCGGAAGCAAGATTACATCGGATGGGAGACCAAAAACAGAAATAAGCCGAAAAATTAAGATAAAGCCACTTTTAGCAACAAGCGTACAATGTTTACCTCAAACAATACTCACTTGCATCCTTAGGAAACATCTGATAAAAACATGTACCTATATGGAGCGTTTTGTTCTATGGTAGTGAAACTTGGACACTTGGAAAGACTGACAAAAAAGGGTAAAGGCGCTAGGAGTGTGGTGTTACCGAAGAATGTTAAAGATTCCCTGAGTGGACAAAGTGAGAAATGAAGAGGTGTTGAAGAGGGTTGGAGAAGATAAGTCTTGTGTGTGGACTGTGGATTACTCTGAAAAAGGGACATCTGCATTATAAGACACGAAGGTTTGCTAAAGACGTTACTAGAAGGTGCCATGGAAGGTAAAAATACTAGGAGCCGACCCAGGTTAGAACAGATTGATCAAACAATGGTAGGCATGGGCTGTACCTTCTAATTGGCACTGCAAAGGTTGGCTGAAGATCGGGAAGGATGGTGAACAGCCACAAACCAATGCTAAGGATTGTTGACTTAAAGAGTCTTCTTTACCTAAGCGCAACTTTTTTGCATTTTAGTGTATAGATGATTATAGCTGCAAGAGATAAGATGAATTTCTTGCTTTGTCAACTTCTGTCTTGGTCCTTAGTTAGTTCCCACCGACACTGTGCAGCGGCGCCACTTGTTACACTCAAATTGTTGAATTACCGCCCGCCAAGATACAGACTTTATTTACAAAAACTATGATTTCATTTTTTGGGATTATGTTTAGAAGTAACTTATCTAAAAAACTGTCGGTTTACTTTTTCCATAAATCGTCTTGATCGAGAGTAAAAAAATAAAACAGATCAGCGCAATAATCGGTGAGAAACATCTAATCTTTAAACAATCGGTATTCAGTTGCTATAAACATTAAAATAAAAATAGTCCGAACATTTTGTAGATAAAGGTCTAAATTTATAAAATAGTTCTTAAAAAAAATTGTTTTTTGAAAAACAACTAGAGTTTTTATGGCGGGCGCTCTTATGGAAATTTACATTGGGTGCAGTGGGTACAGAAGACTCTTAAGATAGAGAGGTTTCTACCTACTAGTTTTGAAAGTCAAAGAAAAGTTGCCATCAGAGAATTTGAGGGGAACTTTTTAACTCAAAATTAAGAGAGTGATGGATAGGTTCAAAAAGTCGCATATTGGGAACTGTTAAGCGACCGTTTATCCTAGATTAGAGGGTAAATTCTCTTGTACCCCAATTTTTGACAGTATCTTTTTGATAAACCCTAAAATGCACAGTTATTAAGGTAAGGATGTCTATCATCGGGATCTCGGAGACCATAGAAGATACGACAGTTTCCAATTTTTGTATTTTTTTGTGTGCCTTACATCGTTGTATTCGTAATAAAAAATGCTACTCATTACAGTATATACTTTTTTTAAGAACCATACAAAGAAAATATAGATGATGATTTCACCGAAACGAAACGTTGTATTAAAAATCTCTCAAGACTGTCGCGTAGAGCTCAAAAAGTTAATTACAATACGTTCCAATTACAGAATTGTAGACCACTGTGTAAAACCTTATCTGCGAGGTGGTCAAGAATGTTTGATAACACTGCAGAGTGCTAATAATAAGTAGACCTTTTCAAGGTTTTTGATCATAAGTAATAAGCAATAGGAAAAGTAGATTTGCAAATTCTATTGCCAATCAAGATTGAAAAATCTTCGGCTTCATACACCTTCAATTACGGTTTGTATTATAAAGACCATTAAGGCATTAATTGGCATTCTCTTGGCTCCATTTTTATAAATTTCTCACTAATCTGTTTTGAGGAAAATCAAAGGTCTCAGCATCACTTTGAATTTGTTTATTAGATTTCCTTGAAAAACACTCGCAGATTCATGAAAATTTTAAGACGGAACGTATCAGTTTATCAATTAAAACTAGTGGTATAATTGATTGAAAATCATAATTAACAAAGGTGAAAGTAAAACACGATTGCGATATCAAACATAAGCGGACATAGATAAACCATGGTCCACGAGATAAACATAGTGTTTATCGAAGTAACCCCTTTAGGTTAGCTTCTTTCAGAAAAGGATATGTGCGTTTGAGGTGAATGACTCGATGCGTGAATGGTAATCCAAAATTGGCCCCCTTCGCTTACGTTGATTTACATTAGTCATCTGTCACCATAAAAAGAAATCAATAATGTCAATTTCTCCCCTTGGATGTGCTAATTGTGGACGGTTACACATTATGTCCAATCATCCACCTATACAAAGGTATAATCCAGACATAATTGAAAATTGAATTTGTAGGTATACTTTTAGCGACCGGTAGGTGGAGGTCGACACGAAACGCATGTATTTCAAATCTTTTCATCTCAATTAATGTCAAAGTAACCGAATTGTAACAAATGTAAATGAATTTTTTATGTCATTTTCGTTTTCAATCCGAGGATGGCACTCAAAGAAATTGACTAAAAAAAGTGTTAATACAAAATGTCAACATTGTATATAGCAACCTGGTCACGTAGTAATGAGTAATATAATAGCTGTAGCATTAAAATCTAGGATAAGATAATTATTAGCGTAGGGCAGTGATTTTTCCCCCACTTGAAGTATTTAAATAATTAAATAAGTTAGTTGTGGGTAGGTATTTCCCCCGAAAAATTACGTCAGTGTAATTATATTGAAAACGTGAATTTATCAAAGTTTTGTCTGCACCGAGAGGCTCATCAATAGCGTTTTGACGCCGGCGCTTTTTGTACATGAAAACTACCCCAATTTTAGAATACGTGAGTGCAGTGCAACGACCTCACAAGCACGTGGAGTGCAATGTTGTAGTGGGGAAAGGAAATGGTCCATTTCAGGGTTGGAAAATCAAGTCGTATTAATAGAAAGGATAGACTAATGTATCACTACTTGGTGCAGAATAAAACATTTCGACTTCTTCCCACTCTCTGTAATTTTTCAAATTAACACCGCATTAATATAAATACACGGACACTGCAATTGACACTAATAAGTCATGCTGTTACTGGATGGTATCATAAGGAATACATTTCTATCGTTAAAGGTGTCATTCGCCATTTTATTGCTTCGAATATAACACAAATTAGCATCAACTGATGTGTTCGTTCTTTCATTATAGGTATTAAAAAGAACCTCAAACATAAGCGTATTTTCGATCAGGCGTAAGTTAAATTTATTAGGCACAACTAGGTAGGTATCGAATTTTGCGACTTCCATTACCTACCTATATATAAAAAAAATTGTACTTTCAATTGCGCCCACTATACACGTTTGTCAATTTTATGCGGATTTCCAGAAATTGGGGTAACCAAAATATTATTTGAAATGCCCACATAGGCAATATTGTATACCCGTAATCCGCGTTAATTTTTTTCTAACTTCAAATTTAGGTATTGCAGTCTAGGATTTTCCCCTGAAAAATTTAGCGTAAAGTATTTAGTTTTGATTGTTGAATTTTTTCGCAGCAGTTATTAAATAGCGCTGTGATTTGTTGATTTAGAAATCCGATTTAGAATCAATTTAGAAGTTTCGATACATATTCCTCAGTCTCAGTCAGAATTCTCACATTTCTCGATCGTTGGAAAACTGGAGTGTGGATCTGTGGAAGCATGACCACTCTGACTTACCATCAGTTACCACATGGTTGAAAATAGATTTCGCACAATGGAAAATAAAATGGGAAGGCCTCTAGAATTTGCTGAACTTTGTAAAGAAAAGATTAGATTAATACGGGTTATCCTCTGAGGATGCGACCAGAAACGGTCCCGAAGATATCGAAGAGTGCGGTTTGGACGCAGGAAGTGGCAAAGAAGGAAGACCACTCTCTTCCAATTTTTGAGATCTAAGTAACGTAACGCAATCGCAATTTCGATTGAGAATACGTATTTAGGCAAGAAGAATACCACGACAAATATGTACGTAATGGGACAGATCAAAGGTACTATTCAATGAATGCGTTGACTCAAGCAGTTGAGCATGTCAAAAATTGAATTGTTACGAGGAGCTGCACATTTCTATATAATGTTTCTAGATCTACTCCCGAGGGTACAAATATCTTACGCAGGTTTAGGAGGAATTGGTGGACCAATGCTCTCTAATTGTGCAAGGATCAAGTTGTGGATTTTGGGCAAGGTTGGGCCATCGAAAAAATGGTCAACTAGGAAAAGATTGACAGCATTAGAATTAATCCTAAAGGAGTCTGTTCCCTGTCTAACCTTACACGTAGTGTTTATCAAAATAACAATCTTGTGTGTTTCTAAATGTCATTAAATTAAAGAGCCGAGATCAGTTCTTCAAGTTGTTCATAGACACTTAATCCACGTTGGCTTAAAACATTAAATCAGCGCGCCAGATCCTCACAAAAAATCGATTGCATATGATCCACCTAGTGATCCACAGTTTCGAAACTACCAATCATATAGTCTCCTGTTCGACCTAGGAGTGAGAGAGGCTCATCATTTAGCAGTTTTTGATGTCATCACCATTTTAATGTCCAGTTAGGTCAGTAGGAATCTAAAATTTACTGTGGAATGACCGTGTCTACTTAGATTCAGACCCTCGGCCCCTCGATAGATTTTATACATGAAGTAGGAGCTATGTTTAGAAACTTTTGTTTACAACCAATTAAAATTTTTTATCTCCCCTTTTAAGAGAGCAAACAGATATTATCGATAGAGAGACTCTCCTCTGTTGTTGTTTTCTATAGTGTGTGACGTAGACATCAAATTATACTGCATATATTTCTTTCGTTCGCCCACAATTTTAATTGAGAGACAAAGAGGTAAATAGATCCCCAACCATTATATCCATTTTCCCTGTTAAATGTGGAGACCAAACATTATAATTGCTTCTAAGCAATGGAAATTTCTCATTAGTAGATATAGGGCCTTTATTTATGCAGCAAAAAATTCACATGGTCAAATTTGATCAAAATGCAACAAAGTGAACTGTCTCGATGACCTTAAATTTTTCTCATCTTGTATTTTTTTGTATACCGAACGTACAAAATGAAAGGCACTACTCCACTATTTAGTAATTACAGAAATTGAATGATTCTTCTGACAAGGTTTTGCCTTTTTTCTACTTTGAAAGCCTACTACAGAAACGTGGTACAACTACATTCTTTATACTCAATAAAAGAAGCTACAAAATTGACTAAGGGGAATGTTCTCCTGTAAGCTTGATTTTGGATCAAATGATCAAAACTGGACAAAGGGTTTAAGGGTTTCATCTCTAGCAAACGTTTGTTTGCCACAAAAACATAAAAGTGTACAGAACTTAGTTATTTTCATTTCTTTGTTCTTCTCATACTGTATGTTTAATACTACTTCAAATATTTAGAAACACATGAACACGATTTCAATTCATTGAACGGGCTTTTGAGTTCCTTTTCGCACGCAGTATGGGCTTTATTTAACAACTAACTAGAGTTTGAGCTGCATGTAAAATTGATCATGATTTAGTAACACAGTGACAAACTATTACATAATATGGTGTACGAAATATAATTGTACAGTGTTTTAATGAAACATTCTATAAATAAACAATAGTGGTCCATAGTATGTAGCCTCGATTATTCGAAACATGAAATATTAAATTGGACGTGTAAAATTGCTCAAAATATTATTTGTCATAATTATTATTGCCATGACATACATGGGAAATTGGCGGCGTTGATTTAACTGTGCTTTTAACTCATTGCTTTTCGGTTAGTGGGTACAAGTACAAACAAATGGGTTTGTGGTTCCCTTATAAGCGGAAAAAGGATGACAAATATCACTATCCCAGTATGTGAAGAGTAGGGATATTCAAAACTGCGGTCTGGAGTTCTTCTTATCAATTGGTGAATCCCATTCCTTGTGGTAAGTGTGAAATTGTCCATGATAGGTAAACAATTTTGAATTTTTTTTTAAATCTTGGTATTGATTTGTAAAAGAACACGGAACTGCCAATCTTTGCTACCACCACTTCATTTGCAACTGCGAGAGTATACCCATTACTATTTTTTTTGTAATTCATAATTGCCCTTCAAATGCCCTCCCAAAAACGACGAGAAAAATGTTGAATACATCATCACGCGAATAACATTTACAACTTTACATAAAACTTAACTTACCATGTAATTGGGACAACGATTGAAATGCATTGGTATTACAGTTTATGAAACCTGAAAATAAAAATTTCAATTAGAATGATGCAATCAACAAAGATTACATTAGTTACACACATTGGCGTAACAAACATGAAATTTAATCGAAAGTAAGGAGGTTAATTTGATCTTGTTTAGGTTTACGTTGATAAAGAATAAGCAATTTTCATATTCTGATAGTCTAAGCAACCCCTAACGTCAGTCACCGTTTCAAATCATATCGACGGAACTATATAAATTTCAAGTTTTTATTGTTAGCAGATGACCATATAATTCTATCAAAATTGCTACCAGAATCACCACCTACCTATAAATTACGCAACCCTTAGGAATGTTCACACATTCCAGATCATGCATCTACTTAAATATTATTATAAATGCTCAAAACTAGGCTTGTGGTAGCACCTGATAATCCCTTTTCCATCAACACAAATGCAACAATCTGTTCCGACCCTACAAATTCGCTGCAAAATTTCTTCTAACCTATTGGAAATCGACACCACTAAAATCCCCACCTTATGACTTTCTGCGCACCCCGTGCCGTTACCTGCCACATATTTTCCGACCGTAAACTTCTCAAATCCTTACATCCTTGTGTCCATCATCCTTTTTTTTTAACATGTTTGGTTTCCCTGCACCAAGGGCTGGATCGCGTGTACAACTTCCCAAAAATCATACATACTTTCTCAGGCTCTAAAATTTCCACTTTTCTCCACGCCACCGAATTTGATGATTTGATGTTTATAGTCCAACCCCAATGAAATCAATAATCCTAACTTCCTACAGACGAATCCTATTTAGGTTTGACAGCATGCGCAACATCTAAACCCGGCAAAATAGCGTATAACAACTTTCCCGACAGTAATATCATTATTTCCACTCTTTCACAAAAGACCAACTACCTAAAGCGGGCTGAAGAAGGTTCTTCAACTAAATAGTTACCAAGAAAGTTCATATAGGAGTCAAAAATTCCCCATATGAAAAAATAGGAAAAAACCATTCAAAGAGATGGGGTATCGATTAAAAAATTGAACGTACTCCTGTTGTCAACTGGATATAAACGCTATTTAATAGCCTTTTGATTACACGACCAAGTGACTACGTATTTCCTAATGAACGATTTTGCGATTTCGGTGCGATCGTAAATCTAAAATTAAAAATTTTAAAACTGGTCGCGATGCGCTTTGTTTTATGCTATTATGTGGGTACAAACTTGCAATTGGACATAAAATTGATTTAATATTAATATTTAATATTCACTATATGGCTAAATGATTTCGCATTTTCTAAACGAGCGATTTGGTGATTTCGGTATGATCGTAAACCTGAAACTAAAAACTGCAGAACTGGTCGAGGTACGTTAACTTTACCACGTGCGGAATTTATTATTTCCCCAACTTCATGCGCGAAATTCATAGTTAGGTAACAGAATCACTATATTAAAATATGAACAAATTGGAAAACGTTATAGAGGAGCTTTTTGGTACGTGGAAGAAAGCCCACACACGTTGCCAAGGTGGATGAAACATATACAGTAAATTAGCAGACACATTATCACTGCTTGCACCTTGTGCATCATTTAAAGTGCAATAATTAGGATCGTTTTCCTTCTTCGTAGGGAATGTCCTTCATGCTCAAAATGACCCAAGGCCATAATTTCTGTTGCTTCTTGAAGTTGAGCTCATGTAAATTGACGCAGTTATCAACATAGAAACTATCCAACAAATTGCAACCGGTATCCTTATTGTAGGTATGCGGTGGTTGTTAACAAAGACTTCTCAAGCATTTTATTCAAATGGAATTTGATGGTCATCCCCAACAGATAAGGACTGCCACAAACGCCGAAAACAACCTAGTGGCAGCCAGCCGGTCAGCCAGCCAGCCAGCCAAAGTGGGATTAAATGCTACTTTTTACAAATAAATTTGCAAAAATGCGCTAAAAAACGTATGCATCTAAAATATTGGACAATGCATAAACTATAACGCTGGATATGAGATGCAAATGGTTAGTAAGTTTTTAACTTTGAAATCAGAAAAGGACCACGAATTATGCCATGCCAAGCCGGTTATGTCCTAGGATGGCCATCGCCATTCCTTGATGCACCAAGAAATGTATCTAATAAATAAATTGCTCCAGTTGGAGAATTATTACATTGGAGAAAGGATCACGATTCAGTGCCGGGACTTCCATAGGACTCCAATAGGTGGTTAAGGACTGAACAAACAAGGTGATTTAGAATCTTTGGATCACTTTTGTAATATTTTTATGAAAGTTTAACTATAGAAACTCCTAATCGGGGCAAATGTCAGCGATCAATTTATGACAACGTGTGAAAGTATTTTTTTACAATTCTAACCAAATATTCAGCGCATTAATCCCGCAAAGACGTCGACCAACATGATTGTCAGAAAGTAAATTAAATTAACGATAAGAGGGAGGGGGGGGGGTGCAAGTATATGACCTGCCTACCCAAAATGTCGACAATGACATCCCAAAACAGTTTTATCGCTTACGGCTTACGATGTAGACAACCTCATCTTCTTGTGTGTGGGTCGTATCAGTTTTTGCTCTCCATCCCTACAAAAGTATTTCAGACCTATTCTATGAAGTGATTTTGGACCAGATATAACTTTGAAAAATGGGTGCTTTTCGTGTCAAAAATTAAATGCGTGCTATTTCCCTATCAGTATCGATTCTATGCAAGAAAATGCCTTACTTAATACAGGATGCATTTTTCCGAATAAAACAGAAGTTCAAAATGTTTTGTCTTCTTCAATTGTTTTTTTGGCAAGCACGTTTGAATACACAAAAGTGTGAGAGTTTGTAAACCAATTGTGCTTCTATATTCCTACTCCCCACGCACTATAGAGATGCGTGAGGAACTAAGATTTCGACGAAGTTGTGGACCTGCAGATGAAAGTAATAAATCCAAAATTGTTTCTGAAAATTCGAAGTGTAATTCTTTATTGGACCACTAAAATGCATGTTTCAAACCATTTTCGCATTGGACTATATCATCAAGAGGCAATTTTTGTCACGCCTCATTTAGGAATGCGCCAGGGCAATTTTGGAAACAACTTTACAAAATGGTATCTACGTAGAGGCGTTAGTTTCATCCGTCTATTGATTGTATTTAACTACATTAGGATTGCAAAGTTTTGAATTTATGGGGATATAGATCCATTTAGAATATCGATTCCTACTAAAAATAGAAAAGAACACCTGTAAGTTATAATTTAATTAATAATCATAGTTTTACTGTGGTCAATAATATGCCATCAAATGGGGGGATAATTTCATGTTCGACACTTGCTGAAACTTTTGTTATTTGAATTCAATAACATTCACGCCAAGGGCGCCTAGATAAAGTTCGTCCATGCGACTAACTGAAACCGAAATAGCATTATTAGGTGTATTTTATGATAACAACAGGTGATAACGGTGTTACCAACCTGCCGTTCAAATAATATTACAGCGAAGCAAACGACGGATACAAAAATTTGGTGCTAGCATTGCTTTCCACCATAGCCAGAAAAATCAGTGGTTAATTAATTACCATGATAAAAATTACTTAAATTTCTTTTACAATTGAGGAGTTCTGACAATATCCTGAGATTCAATATAGGTACTTCCAGATAGGTACAAAACTCCAGGTTGTGGAGATCAAATTATAACCCCCCCAAATCTTTCCATTTATTTAAAATTATTGATTTAGTATTCTTATCGCAATTAAATTGCTTATTAAAATCAAACTATAAAATACAAATGTAAACATGGTGTTACCGATAACGTTTATCAAAGATAAGTAACAGTTTATCAGTATAATGCTTCCCGGATTTAAAGGACCTTATAACCTAATTCATTAAATATTTTCTACCAAAGTTTACGCACATACTCCATCATCACGTTTTGATAATATAATTTATTACCGAAATTAATTAATGTAGATGGCCGTTCTCGACTAAAAATAGCGATTCCAATTCTTGCAGTAGCATGCGAGTGGTACAATATTTATATGTGATAGATCAACGTGCGTCTACTTTTGTTAAAAAAAAGCACGTGCTCTTCCATAAATAGAACTGGAATGTTTCTGCGATTTAAATCTTGAAACAATTCTATTCTGAATGCAATCCGTTCAGGGTGCCATTTTACATATGCTTCCAAAAAGGCTTGTTTGAAGTGGCTTTAGCACCTGCTTATAAATAAGCTAAGGGAGGTTTGTTCATTGCACATCTGCAGGATCATATCTTGGATATTTATAGAGTGGGTAAAATGAATTTTTTTGTGTACGCAATTCAAATGGTCATTAAGTTGCTGTGCGTTAGCATTTATTTATTTAAAGCACTGGCATGCCTAGTAAAACTCTTTAGTCTCCAAACTCCAAATTACTCCCATTATCTGCCAGAAAATTTGTTTGTAACGCATGCACCGGGTTTCCTCTGAAGTTTGCCATCCAGAATAGTGCTGCTTTCACTGCTTTTCGAAATTATATCAATAGTAGGTACTGGCGAAGATAATTAAGGACGGATTACATTTTACTACAAACTACGTATACCTATTCCAATTTACGGGTATCTAAATTAATTACCTATACCATTCGAACATGCTTTTCAACTTGCGATGCAACTGGATCATGAATAATAACGCAATTTTTACTTTATTGTTTTACTTCGGTAACATATATTACTTTTACAAAGCTTAATTAATTTTATTCCATTCACATTAATTACATTACTAGACGTTATTGCGAATTTGCCACGGGCGCCATTTACCCCGCTTTCGCATTTTTTTCAGACGCCAATCTGTTCCGACCTACAAATTCGCTGCAAAATTTCATCTAACCTATTGGAAATCGACACCACTAAAAATCTCCACGCTTATGTTGATTTGCGCACCTTGCGTTACCTGCCACGATATTTCCGATGTAAAACGTCATCAAATCCTTTTCATCCTTGTATGCATCATCCTTTTTTTAGTTTTTTAACCCTTCACCAAGGACATGAGAGCGCGCTGTACA